TGAGATCTGAAATTTTCTTCCACGATACCAGGTGTGGTTTTGGGATTGAGGATGACGAGGCCGTAGCCCTCCATGCCCTTGGTCTGTGTGCTCTGGGACATGTTGTGGTGGGAGCATCACACCAGCTGTACCCAGGCCTTGGGCGAAGGCTAGATGCTCCGGAAAGCCTCACCTCCTAGCCAAGAGGGGGACATACTCTCTTTCCCACCCCACCCCCCCCAGCTCTCCTGAATGCTGCCTGTAGTTCAGTCTGCTCCTCCTCCTTTGGGAAGAGCCCTCTCTGAGGTTCTGGGATTTCCTAAAGTTTCAAGTTCAGTGTAGGGGTAGAAGAAAGGATGGTTTCTATGGATCTTCAGGAGAGGGTGGGGACCACCTGCAGAAGGGGAAGAACAACTGCCACTGATTTTTCTAATCACAGTGGCCATGGGACATGTCTCAGCATGATTGTGGACAAAAGCTTGTCACTTGAAAATCTTTGCAATTTCCTAAGAGCTTTGATGGTTTAGACATAGTTTTTAATGGAAAGTAAGCCACATGCGATGCAAGATGGAGAAATCTTTTGACAGTGAGCACCCAATACTGCCTCTCTTATGGTGTCTGTGAAATAGAAATACACAGCCCTTCAGTTAACACCTGAGGTGTGAGCTCTCATCTCTGCTATCAGCTGGGCTTTGGCTGGATTCACTTGAATGTTGAATTCAACAAAACCTCCCTAGCTCTTCCTTTCTGGCTTTGGACATTATCAAACATCCTCATCCATGGTTGCAAGATCAAAAAGTCAGCAATCATTGAAAACGTTGTTCCAGGAGAATGTTTTTTTTTGAAGTTGTGAACTAGTTACTCAGGTGTCACGCCTGGGCTGCTCTCTGCAGTAAGTCATTTTGGACATTCTTGAATAACTATGCAGAAGATTTTTTTAAAAGCAACGTTCAATCCCTAATCTTTAATAAATGGTCAGCATCGTACAAAATGAGCTTGAAGGAAGGAGGAATATTTTTGCACAATAGCTACAGTGAAGTTTATATAGAACTTCTGGGGCTCTCTTGTCCTCCTTGTGCTACTTTCCGTGCAGAGTAGAATGGGATGGCAGGGAGACCCAACCTGTATTTTGAGCTAGGATTTGGGCACTTTGGGCTGCTTTGGTGGTTCAGAACAGCCTTCAGATAGAAAGATCTTGCACTACGTCATCTTGGCAGACTTACGGAAGAAAATTAGCACCTTGAGAGTTTAGCTGGAAGCCTTGCGGTCTCAGTTACCTTTGCAACAAAGGGATGTGTGTATTAGCAGTACATTTATGGCTTCTCTGATCTCAGTAGTGAGGAGTCTGGTTTTCCATGACTACTCAGGGTGCTCCAGGTAAGGTGTCTTCACAAAGCTGAGCTCTTAGTATCATGGTGGTAATAGGTGACTGTTTCACCTCCCTGGAGATCATAGAGCCCTGTGTGATTTAGGCACTGCTGCATGAGGTGAGTCCTGGAACACCCAGGTGTGGAGCTGTATGTTGGGCGCAGGCTGTGGCTGAGATGTACTGCCTGCTCTAGGCAGCACCATTAGCAGGGAGTTTTGCGTTGCTTGAGCTCATACTTCTCGGCTCCTGTGCTGTCATCTTCGATTGCATCAGAATAGATGGCGTATTTTTATCTTCAGTTCTGTTTCATGAGCTTTGTGCCTTCACTGAATGAATTTCAAACCTCGTCTAAGCACATGGGAAGACATTCAGGGATCATGTTTTAAACTCAGCATTGCCTTTTTTGGGGTGCAAAGTGATGGCTAAATTAAAAAACAGCCAAAGGGGTCGGTTAGAAATTAGAAACCAGCCCCAAGGAATATCCCCTGAGAGAAGGGTCCTGTATCTTCTCCTGCAACATCTAGAACTGGTCCCATCCAGCCTGGAGTCAGGGACTAGCATTGAGGCAGCCTGGAAAATCCAGGATAACAGAGGGAATTATTGTACTGAAATAAAAATCTCTCCCCAGGTCGTGAGACCAGGCTGCCCCTACGTGTCAAAGGGGAAGGCATTGGGCCCCGGCTCCGCTTCAACTTTGACCAGCTGGACATCGGGAAGGTTTTTATTGGATCAGCCCACAGCTATGAGGTGAGCAGCAGGGGTTTGCAGGGGTTGGGCTGGATCCCAATGGCTCCTGGGGCAGCAGTGAGCCTCATGGACCTGTGGGATTTCTGGCAACTCAGGCAGCTGTGAGCAGGGAATATTTGACATAATAGTCAGATTTGAAGGGTTTCACAGAAGCTGGATACTTTTGATGGGGTCTGAAAGGTGTATACGTTGTTCGTGAAGCCCTAATCCCTGCTTTTTGGCAAACTCCCTTTGAAATTAGCTGGGAGCCTTCGTGCAAAAAAAAAAAAAAAAACAACCCATGTTAAAGCCCCTTGACACATGAAAGCAGCAGTGTGTCAAAAAGGTAAGTATTCAGAGGCTTTTGTTTCAGCCCTAGATGCAATGCACCTTTGTACTCTGGCTGTTAAAAAGCAGCTGGAACAAATTTACTGTATTTGAACTCAAGTCTGTTGCAAGTGCTTTTCAGTTAAGTGCATCCTACTGATTCCTGGGAGTCGGAGGAAAGCCATCAACCTCCTGGCTCAGAGCTGTCCCTTGCCAACCAGTCTCTCATTGTGCTTCAGACTTGGTGCATCTCTGGCTCTAAAAAGAGCAAAGCATTTCTGGAAATGAAGCAAAGGAACTTTCTACATATTTGCCTCCCTACCAGTGGTGTGAAATTTTCTGCCAAAAAAAAAAGTAGAGCAATGGAAAGAGGTCGAAAATGAGGTGATACATCATGCCAGACTCTTTCAAAAGCTTGAGTGAGGCAGGGAAGGACATATTAAGGTGTTTTCTTACCAAAATATTGTGCACTTTATGCATTTTTAATGCTGATACTTCATTGATTCTCTCTGTAACAATTTATTATTTTCATTACTTGAGAAAATGTGAATAAGTAATGGTACTGTTAGTGCTGTCCTAAGCAGCTAGGCTGGAGGTAAACCTCAGTTCAGCGTAGGATCCCTAAGTGCGGTTTGTAATGAAGGTGTAGAACACGTGAGAGAGTAGTTTTCAAGTTCCCATTCTGGGGTTTGAATTACGTGAAATCCAAAGCAGATAAGTCTGTGGAAGTGGTAGAATTGCACTGTGCAAAACTTTACAGCCTACTCAAAACAAAGCTACTTGTTTGAGGTAGTGGATCTCTCAAGAGTTCAACAAAATACATCTTGGGTCCAAATTTGCATTTTCTTCTAAATAATGGTGAATTTGTAAATGGTTGCTGTGAATATTTAGGAAAGAGAAATTCTTTAGAATAGGCAGAGCTGCTATGCACCTCACTCTCATCCTTTCTTGACATGTCTGGTTGAGCAAAGACTAAGAAACTATCACATTAAAGAAAAAATAACCCCCCCAAATTATATACCATAGCAGAGTTGGGGGCTGCTTCTGAAGTTATAGTGCTGTTCTGAGGTGTCTTCTACATGCAATAAACTTGTTGGCTGTAATGGAATCTGAACATGTTCTGCCCTTGGCAGGATCAGACTCATCTGGAGCAGGAGCAGTTGTGTGGTGGTTCACTGGTAATGCTGCAACCACCCTTCCTTGCTCTTAGGGACAAGTCTGAATCAACTCGGTGATGCTGAGCAGGTCCTCTGCACTGCAACTGCAAGTGGACTGCTCTGCACCAGTGGAATGAACGCAGGGTGACTGTTTATGTGAAGTTATCACTGCTTTGCATGAAAAAACCCAAAGGCAGAACTTGGCCTGCTGTATTTTCTTTGCCTTCTGCCAAGCAGCAGCACGTGGCGTCCTCTGCCTTTTACAGATGTTCAGTCAGAAAACAAATCAGCCTTCTGTAAGAAAGGAAGTTTCCTTATGTATGTCCATTTTGCCTTCTTGCTGCTGCAGGCGATCCTGTTTAACAAAGGACCCATTGATGCTTTCTTCAACTTGATCCCTCCAGCTACAGCTCTGGGCACCTGCTTCACCTTTCTACCCCAGGAGGGTACCATTTTGCCAGACAGGCTCCAAGTCATCCAGATCTCCTTCAGCTCCACCATCCTGGGGCAGTTCATGGAAGAATTCAGGTTCACTGTGAATGGATCCCCTGAGCCTGTGACCTTGACTATCAGGTGAGGAGGGTTATAGGAGCTCAGTGGGCACATCTGTAGCTATCTCTGGGTAACCATCTCCCACCTGCCTCCTTTTCTGATGGAGCAGAGAAAAAAGGTGGTGTCTAAAGTCTGAGTCTTGGCTCTGACCCTAGCGTCCGTACAGTAAGAGCCAAGGCTCTTTAACCTTGACTCAGTTTGAACCTTGTGATTGCAGCAGCAAATGAAGTGTAATTGTGAGAGGAAATCATAGAATGGTCTGGGTTGGAAGGGACCTTTAACAGTTGTCTGGTCCAACCCTCCTGCAGTGAGCAGGGACATCTTTAGCTGGATCAGGTTGCTCAGAGCCCTGTCAAATTTGACCTTGAACGTTTCCAGGGATGGGGCTTTTACTACCTCTCTAGGCAGCCTGTGCCAGTGTTTCACCACCCTCTTTGTAAAAAATGTCTTCCTTATAACCAGTCTAAATTTACCCTCTTTCAGTTTAAAACTGTTACCCCTTGTCCGGTCACTACAGACACTCCTAAAAAGTCTGTCCCCATCTTTCTTATAAGCCCCCTTTAAGTACCGAAAGGCTGCAATAAGGTCTCCCTGGAGCCTTCTCTTCTCCAGGCTGAACAACCCCAACTCCCTCAGCCTGGCCTCACAGGAGAGTTGTTCCAGCCCTCTGATAATTTTTCTGACCCCCTCTGGACTTGCTCCAACAGGTCCATGTCTTTCCTGTGTTGAGGACTCCAGAGCTGGACGCAGCACTGTAGGTGGCGTCTCACCAGCGTGAGGTAGAGGGGAAGGATCACCTCCCTCAACCAGCTGGCCACCTATGACCATGCTTCCTGTGCTCTCAATACCCAGTTTAACTTTCAAAGTCTTGGGTTCCTCTGGGAAGCAGCTTTGCTTTCATTGTTGAGCCAGGGTGGCTCTGACTTTCCAGGACACTGTTTGCACAGAATTTCGCAGCAGCAGGTTCCTTTTGTGACCCTTTGATATCTCTGTGTGAGGACCCTGAGGCTTTAAGTGACTACCCATTCTGGAAAAAAGTTTAGCTGGAGGCTGTACAGGAAAGGCTGCCCAGTCTGGGTACCCAGGAGCTGGGGTGACTCCTCCTTATAGGTAGCTCATTCCCCCTTGGGCCACAGCAGACAGTGTGATGGCTTTGGGCAGTAGATGGTCTGGGATGTTCCACCTGAACACACAGCAGGGCCAATGGGGCTTTGGAGATGGACCAGCCTGGGTGATTCTGCAGCCAGAATCAGGGTTTTTAAAATCCTCTGTTAATAATCCATACAAAATGGGTAGCAGCAGCCTCAATATCATCTCTTCTGCTAATGTGTTGGGACAAGCTGTTCTCCTGGCTGTTGTGCAGCGAGTGCTACAGTACCTCCTTTCTGCAGCCAGAAAAGTGCTGATGCAGGAGATGGGGAGCTCTGCAGCAAGTACTGTCACAAGGACTTGGGCATCATCCCATGGGCTGGTGCCATTGCAAAAGATAATCTTCACCGAGCAAAGGGGAGAGGGGAAAAAAAACAAACAACTGATGATAGGAGAGGCACAGCTCACTTCTCAGGACCACAGCAGCATGCAAACTTCTCCCAGCTGGTCTTACCCATAGGCTGGTGGGATATTGTGGTGTAGGCAGGAAAGCTGGTGCTGGGTGCTCCTAGGCTGCAGCTGTTGGGAGGCACTAGATCAAGGTAGTAAAGAAATGAAAGGAATCTGCAGTTGATTTTGCCAATAGAGTAAGGGGAATGAATAAAAAATAACAAAAAGATTATTACTTTGCAAGAGAAGAGCAGTGAGGAGGTCTGTTGACCTCAGTAGAGAAACAATTATGTTGCCTTTGTGTTTGGAGGGGAAGTGCTGCTTTTTTTGGAAATTGAGAGGGAACATTTCACAATCAAATAATTTATTCTCCTCTGTCCCTCCCCCAGATTGGTCATGGGATGTTACTGCATGAGCAGCTTTCTCCTTGAGAAGGACAGGTTTCACTTGTAAAGATGTGCTTATCATGGGTAGAATCCAGTATTGCTAGGACAGTGCCCACTGCCTCTGCCCTGCAATGGCCTTGCTCCTGGGGAAGGAAAGAGCTTATCAGTGGGGTAGTTGTCTTTTGGCTTCCCCAAACCAAATGAAGTGGTCCTTTTTTCCTCACTGATTCAGCGTGTCCTCTCCTTCTCTGTGGCCACTCTGCCCTGTTCTGCCAGCACCACTCCGGGCTCAGTGCAGACCTTACATCTCAGTGAAAGAGGATTCTCCAGCCCCCCAACTCAAGCTGTTTGTTTTCAAATGCCTTTGAGATGTCCACTCACCAGTTCAAGCTGAGCCTCCCTCTTTGGGAGTTTCTGTGCACTGGATTTAGTTCTCCACGGAGAAAAACTCACGGTTCTTTTGAATGGAGGTGAGCTGGCTGGTGGGACACTGGGCTGCAAAGGAAGGAACAGGGATGAGAGTTCACATGGTTCCTCTCCCACCTTGTGTTATCCTTTCTGCTCTGCAAGGATCTTGATCCCCCTTCACAAATGCATTATTTAATGCTACTGTAAAACACCATTGTTGCCAAAACCACTGTCTTTCCCCCCATTTTCTTGCAAGCTGTATTGTTATCAGCTGCGGTGCACAGAGCTCTGGGCTGGCTCCTTGCCTGAGCCTTCTGGGCAGTCATTCAGGTTTAACTGACTTGAGCACAGATATGGTGCACTCAGCAGAAATGGCAGTCATTTCCCCACTTGCTTGGCAAGGCTCATCCTTGGCAGTTGCCCAGTGTGATCCCCAGTTGTGTTTGGTTTAGAGGTAGTTTTCCATTGTTTCCTGGCAAGTGCTGTGATGGAAACCATGTCTGTTCCCTTTGCTCTGTCCAAAGTATGCTGTTGAGGCTTGGGAGGTTAAGTCTGATTACGTGATGTCCTTGGAGAGGAAACTTCAGCGGCAGCAGGGATTTGCTACCTGACATTCTCAGGTACTGATTCAGCTCCAAGAATCGAGAATTAAAGTTGGATTGAAACTCCTGAAAGTCAGTTTTGGAGTGCTTTTTGACTATGCAATCAGAAGATGCCCAAAGCATAGGTGGTTATTCTTTACTTGGAAACCAGCCTTACAAGGTCCTGAATGCTTGTTTCTTTGGTGCTTAGAAAGAGATGCTGGAAATGGGACACCACAGATGAACGCAGATCCCTCCTGTGGGATGCTGGGGTCTGTTCATGTGCAGAACAGACCCAGTGGCAGGCCTGTGGATAAAACTAGAAGGCACAGTTCACTGTGGTCCTTGATTTTTAACTAAGAGTCAGAGATGACATTGATTAGCATCAACCATCAAATAAATTAATGAATGTTATACAGCTTCAAGTGCTGATTTCAGTGGATGTTAGTGAGTTTTGGAGTTTGGAGCCTGTCTGCTGGATTTAGGGACAGGTGAGACAGTGTAGTGGGTTCAGGACACCCACATTCAGTGGTTTAAGACATGTTGTTCTTGGATGTGTCAGCTGGTGCATTGGTGACAAGCTGATACTTTCCTCCAAGATTCAACTGTCCGCTGTGTAGAACTGTGTTGCTGCTCTTCTCAATAGATGTTTGGGGCTCCCCTGGATTCATGCCTCAAAAATCCTGCATGGATAATGATTGTGTGGATCAAGATCTTCTAAGATGTTCATGTAGTCCATGGAAACACCAGTTCTAGCTGAGGAATAGCGAAGCAGGGAACCTGTGGCTGGGAAGGCTGATTACAATGAGTCCACTTTTGTGTCCATTCCATTACAGATGGGGAAACTGAGGCACAGAGCCATCACTTGTTCAGGGTCCTTCCTTGGGCCAGCAGCAACTTGGGGGCATACCCTGCCTGACACGGCACCCTAAGCCACGTCAGCAGCTATCAGCTGCTGACCACTTTGGCTGGCTCCTGTCCACAGGGAGGCTGTGCTGAGCACAAGGGTGATGGGTTGATGTGAAACCCACTGTGGCTCTGAGACCAGCTTTTATTTATGGGAGCTATAACGAAAGCTGACCACTTTGCAATTCTCTTTAACCAAGCCAATGCTGCCTCTGCTTGTCTTTGTCCTCACAGGGGCTGTGTCATCGGACCAACTTTCCATTTCAATGTACCTTCCCTCCACTTCGGTGATGTCTCCTTTGGTGAGTGTGCCCTGGGCTTGGACCACAGGTTGAGAGGTCTCTGCATGACCAAAATGGAGCACTTTAACACTTGAGCATCTGCCACTTGTCTCCCTCCATAGCAGCCTTCAGGGCGTTAAAACCAGGACCGCTGGTTGTTTAGGTGGTATTTTGCCATCATGAGATAAAATAGGACCAAAGGAATAAAAAGTCAGTATTTTCTGCTGTCCCTCAGAGTTTGTTCAGGCCCAACCTCCCAGTCCTTGGTACCAGAATGACTGTGAAGGTCCTTGTCCCCAAAGGGAGTTTTAGCTGCATACTGGCCTGTGGCTGCTCTGAATAAATGTTCATGTTGTAAGGCAAAGACACCGTTTACCCACCTGACCTTTAGTGTGAGATGTTAATTAGTGCTGTGAGGACACCTTGTTTTCACCTATCAGATAATATGCCCAAGTAATAGCTCTGCATCAGGCACTGATGTCTTCAGAGATGTGGGCTCCTCCTTCCCCACCAAAAGCCCAGCCCTGCTGACAGACCCGGTGGCTGAGTGTCTCTGTTGAAATGCAGATTCTGGCTCTCCATCTTAGTCTCACAAAAGGCTTTTTACTGAATTGATCTGAAGTTTCAATGTGAAATCAATTGTGGATTGATTGAAGGGCCATTATCATTCCACATCCAGGGTGCCTCTGTGTTTTCATGCTGTTCATGGACTTTTTAAGAAAACTCATTACCTTTCCTGAGCTGCTTCCTCCCATCTGCATCCCCACTCTGCCACTTCTTTGTTTCCTTTTGAATAAATAAAACAAACGCACCAGAAATATGGTTATGTAATAGGAGATTCATCCTCCTTAATCTGATTTCATTAACTAGACCTTTGCAGCTGAAGGCAGCTATTGTATTTTTGCTTTTTAACTGCTGCTGACTGTTGTCTGCATCTGGTGGCTTCAGTTTTGTTCAGGATTGTGAAGTATGTGTATGTCCTTTCTGTGTACCTCCTGCCTCTCTGCTGGAGTAATCACTGGAGGTGGGGTATGGTCACTGATGGGCATGGAGAATCTACCAGCTGTAGGCACATGTAGAAACTACCTGGTGTAGATGTTTTCCCCCCATCTTTATTCAAATAATGGTAAGCAAGCCGTGGGAGATGCCTCTTGGTAAGCAGGCTATGGGAGATGTCTCCTTCTTGCCAGCCAAGCCAAATGTCCGCTCCAGAGCAGGCTGTGGGCTGATGTCCTGTCTCTGCAGGACATCACCACCAGGTATGGTTGTATCACTGATTTTCCGTTATGGAAAGCCAGTGTCAAAGCTAAAGTGACGCAAACCTTTGTGGGCAATAGTCAAAGCCAGTGTACAACGTGGATGTGATGTCCCCATTTGTTAGGTGAGGTGAGATGTGGTTCCTGCTAATTTCTAAGCAACTATCAGGTTTGCCTCCAGCAAAGCATGCTGTGAGTTGTCACGTGCTCAGTCTGGTTGCCCCAAACCAGCAGATGCCTTAAGGATCCTGCCTAGAGAAACTGCATCGGATGGCTTTGCATCATGTTGTAGTTCCCAATTTCATCCTTCCTTTCTTTTACTGTAGCTTCTCCTCGATGACAATACATTCCCTTTATATGTTGAAAACTGTGGGAGTGTTTGTGGAGTTAACAGGGAATGTTATGGATTAAATTTTCAGAAGAAATAGTCTGTCTGGATGCACACTTGTAAGTGAGAAATAACTAGTTCTAGTTTTGATGAGAGTGCTCCTCACAGTTAGAGAGAGAAAAACTGGTGTTCAGCAGTGCTAAGAGTGGGCATTTCCAAGGACGCAATCTGTGATCAGCGTAAAATGGAACTTAAGTGACGGCAAATTCCTCGCTTAGCTTCTTCATCAGCTGTAATTCAGATCAAAAAGAGCTAAACTCCAAGCGCAGTTTGATCATAACAGAATATTCACACCAGGAATCATGGGTGGTGGATAAATTCACATTTGTGTTATTTTCCCAGGTTTTCCTTGTACCTTGTCATGTCGCCTCACTAACACCTCCTTGGTGCCCATGACGTTCAAACTTCGCATTCCTGGGGATGGCTTGGGAGAGCCAAGTGTTACCAGTTTTGTTCAGATAGCAGACAACACTCGCCCATCCTGGAGAAAAGGAGCCCAAAGTCATGTCAAGCCAACCGAATTTACCATAACACCCTCCAGAGGGACCATCCGCTCCCAGGGACACCTGGATATCCAGGTAGGGGAAGAGTGCAGCCATACATGCTTCAGCAGGTGGAGCTGAAGCTTCACTGATGTATCAGATGGCTTTGATGATGCTAGCTTGGAGCATAACACAAGTAAGATATCTGCAGTAGCATTAGGCTTTTGTTAGCTGGGTTACTGTGGGGCTTTTCTGAAAGAGAAATGGTTTGTTTCCAAAATCATAAGCTGAAGACCGTGTACCATGTGATCAAGTACAGAAGCCATTCATGTGTTTGAGAGCTGCTTAGAGCAATTTCTTTGATTTAGAGTGGGCAGAGGAAGGATGAGTACAGAAGGTGGTTGTTAAAAAAAGAGATGTCATTGTATAAAGCAGTTTGCTTTTCTTCCCAGTCTTATTTCTCCTCTCCTGTTGTGCAGAATGAGTTGTATTCACTGCAGTGATCTCCAACGGGGACTAAAAAAGCTCTGGCAGCCATGAATGGCACGTCTTCTGTGTTTTCATGCTTTTCGTGGACTTTTGCTGGGCCACATTTTGCCCTCTGCTTCCCACTGTAAAGCTGAACTCATTCTATTAAAGTCAACAGATTTCCTCTGGATTTTTGCTATTGTAGTTGAGATTAAAAATTAGCCCCTTAATTTTAATATGGTGGCGGGTAGAGCATTAGTCTAATTGTGCTTTAATTTGGCTTACATGTGTCCTGCTAACTGCAAGGTGTATTTAACAAAGCAGATGTTCTCAGAAGCCTTTTGTTACTCCCAGAGACAGTGTTCTACACGTGGGCCAGCAGAAGAATTAAGACAAAATTCTCCCTTTTCTTACTGTGGAACGAGAACCAGAGGACACCACCCTTGGATAACGGCTTTTGGGAGTCATGAAGTATTTGATGCTGTTGTCTTCCACCAGGTCACCCTGTGTTCCAACACCGTCAGGAGCTATGAGCTGGCACTGGTGGTGGACGTGGATGGTGTTGGCAAGGAGGTGTCGGCGCTGCTCCTCACAGCCAGGTATCAGCACTTTCCTTGCAGCTTATCATCTCTCCTTATGCATCCATCACCAGCATGTTGCCTCACACATGGTTTGTTTGCTTCAGCTCCAAATGAGAAGTGTTGCTTAATGAGCTAGTTCTGCCTAGCTAGATACGAGAACAGCAGTGCTTTGAAAGCAGCCCGTGTTGAGAAGCACCTGTGCTCAACGGACAGGCATGGCCCTGAGCTCCTTTTGGAAAGGGAACAGTAATTATACTCATTATCAGCCTTGTTTTTGGTGCTTGAGGTGTAACAAATTTCCACAGGGCCACCTCTCCTCCCTGCAAGTGGTGGGCTTGTGCTGGGTTGTGACCAAAGTACAACATTTGTTTGGAATGCAGCGAGCAGCCTGCTGAAAGCTGGTGTCTGGTTCGGTTAATGAAGACACGTGCAAATAGGAAAGGGGCTTATGGCAGGACTGATGAGGGAAAAATAAAGGCAAGATCTTACGAAGGGGAAAATAGTCCTTGATGTGGAAGGTGAGTGAGCTCAGGTTTCTCTGCTTCCTCTGTTTCTTTTGAGCATTAATGTTCTTAGACTTAAGCCAAAAGTAGTTGTTGTTGCAGCCAGATTCAATCCTGTTGTGCTGCGGCGGGTGTCAGTTTAATTACAAGAGGGATGCATTTCACTGGTGCTGTTCCCTCTCCCAGGCAGAGTCATTCAGTCAGTGCCTGGGCTGCAATTTTGTAAAACAAGAGTAAATGGGAACAGATAGTGCACGGACCTGTGGGCGTGAAGGACCAAGGTAGCTGTAGGGACTGGGAGAGGATGATCACCTGCTGCATGAGGCAAGTGGTGGCCTGTGCCCTCCATCGCTGGAGAAAATGGCTGAGTTTTCAGGCAGGGCAACAGTGGTATGGGAGAGGAGGGAGTCTTTTTACTGGAGTCTTGTGTTCCTTGAGTCTTGGTAAGCCCTAGTCCTTGGTGGGAAGGCTCCTCCAGAGCTCATGCCTTGCTGGGACTGTTGGGAGGGTCCTTGCAAGCCTCCTAGGGGAGAGTCAGGGCAAAGCTGGTAGGACAGCTCTGGGACAGGGCACTCTGCTCTGCCTGGGCACTTGGCAGCCTCTGTGATGCTGAGTCTCAGGGTTTGTCCCTCCTTTACAAGAGGTTGCTGAGTAAAAAGAAGTTAAGGTGATTTATCACTGTAGGGGTATTAAATGTCTGTTTGACAGTGACAAATGTGTTAGGCTCCATTTCACGCTATTTGGGGAGTAAACATTCTACATTCTCTCAGTATGTCTAATTCCCTTTTGGTCATCTCTTTGCTTAGATGTGTGGTTCCTCTGCTGCGAGTGCTCAACCCCATCGTGACGTTTCAACAGTGCTTACTAAAATTCCCTTGCCAGCAGACGCTGACCCTTGTGAATGATAGCGATCTTCCAGGCTGCTACAGGGTTCTTCCTCAGGTTTGGCACCGCATTTGCCTCCTGCCCTCAAATGTTATCGAGAGGTTTATTAAGAAAAAAAAGTGTTTTGGATAAGACCTTGCTAGTTTATATTCAAACCTAAAGGTTTGCAGAGAACAGGAACCTACCTGAGTATAAACTTTAGGAAGCAGTTTATATTCTGGTCTTTGGGATGCTTTCATGCAGGAGAACTTACAGGGTTGTGAAAAGCTGCTGCAAGGAGGCTGCCAGCACAGGAGTGGGTGTTTGTGGATGCAACAGCTTTTGAACGCCCTGAGGATGCTAAGCCCATACAAGTCTTGCATCTTGTTTTGTGCCTTTCTGTTTTTCTCCTAGGGATTTTTACAAATGTGTGTGAATTGCCAATGTGGTAGATGTTAAGGAGCTTAAAGTTTCTTCAGAGGTCCCTCTGAAGTTGCATTTGATTCTGTCCCTTATAGAAACACAAGGAGGATGCTGCTGTGTGGTACTCCAGCCCCATGCCGTGTGGCATTATCCAGCCTCACAGCTCGGTGGAGGTCCCGTTTACACTGGAAGTCCAGGTGATGGGAAAGCAGGACACCATTGCTCATATCGCAGTGTTTGGAAGTGAAGGATCCCCACTGGTGAGTGCGAGGGGAGAAGTGTGCCTTTGTGCAACTCATCTTGGTGGGGCAAGAAGCGTATAGGGATTTTTCCAGGGAAAACAAGAACTTGATATGACTGGTGTGGGTGAGAAAAGGAGGGATTCATGGTGTAAGCAACAGCTAATTCCTAGAGAAGAGGAAGGATGGTATCCTCTTAGGTGGTAATCTAAGTGTCTGACGCAGCATCTAATTATGGATATGTGAGATGTGATAATAAGCTCAGTCTGAAACCCAGCACAGTCCCTGGGTCTCATACTCTGCTGTGTTATTAGACGAACAGCAACTGCTGCTTCGTTAGGGCTTTTGTTCAGGAGCACACAGGGACCTCCCCGAATCCTGCTAAAGAAAGCGTTGTGTAAGGAACCATGCTGAAGGGGTGTTTTGTGCAAGGCTGGATTTGAGCTTTTCTGAAGGTCATGTTCATCACATCTGAGAAATATCCATCATATGTCTTTGCCAAAAGCCCCAGCCACATGAGTCTCCACACCGCTTGCATCTGGAGTGGAGAGACTTTTTTTTTTTTTTTCCTACCAAGCTTGGCCATGGATGAGGCAGAGCAGTCCTGGACTAAAGCCTCCTAAAAGACATTGTTTGCATTCAGGCATATGCAACAGCAGCAATGGCAACATCATGTAGGCAAGAGAATGTTTTATGTAGTGTCCTGGCTTCATCTAGATGAAACTGAGAACAAACCTAGTTAATGAAACTTTAATTGAAAATTATATTAAATTTTGAAGCAGCTCTTTTAAAATGTCTTGTCATCTCTCTGAGCATGAAAGAGGATGTCAGAGGATTCCTGAGAACCTTAAGCTTTCTGTAACAGAAAGGAAGGCTGACGTTTTGGAAGTAGTTGCAGGGATTTAAACTTTCATTAAAATGAGTGGAAATGATGCTGTTAAATCCCCTGGATGCCACTGAACATCACAACCCAGGCCGTTATAGATGTGCGTGTAAACCAGTCAACAGGAAGGGCAGGCAGTGCAGGCTTTGCAGAGGAGTCTGCAGTTTGACAGAACAGTTGCTCATAAGCATAGGGCGTGCTTCCCTTGGAAAGGAGGGTTTCGCCCCACTAGAATAACCAGTTGCTTAACTCTCAGCTTGTTTTTTAACTACAAATTTCTTGCAAAGCTTTTACCTTTGGATTAACAATTTATGGCTTCAAAATTTACCTTGCCTTAATCTTTTTTTTTTTTTGGACGCGAATGTGTCAATCTTTCACCCACAGGATGAGCATTTCAG